TTTTGATTGTCTCATTTTTTGTTTAATTTCAGTGCAAGTTTAAAATGAATATGCAATAATGCAGTTTGGAAAAACAATATCTTTATGGACATATTTAATCAAAGTTGGTTATGTGGTGTGTTGGTCTACAGCAGGTAATGCATATAACATGAAAATGAAACATTCGACAACTTTTTGTTGGCTTTATCCTGCAACCAGTCAATTATTGTACAAATAACTGGTACACAAACAAAAATTTTGATAAATTTGTACTTGTACAATTAAAATTCTGTTAATTCTTTCAGTTTGGGGTCCTCTTCGCGGTCCGCGTTTAAACTATGTCGATTTCCGAGTTTGAAAAATCTGAGACAACTATTTTGATTAAACAACTTCACCTTTAAAAAGTGTCAAGTGTTAACTGCAGGATAAAAACAATACATTAACATTGTCGGAAAATATAAAATTTATTTTTAAAAAATTCATGTTAAACAGATCCGAACGCGTTCAGTATGAAGATTTCACAAATCCAGAAACCAATTGTCTCGGGCAAAGCCGATATTAAAATATTGCAGTATATATAGCTTCACAAATGCCAATGTATAAATCTCAATTTACGTAAATGAACGTAATATTCAAATTTCCAAGACACTCAGGACAAGAACGAACAAAAAAGGGATTAAAAATCTATATAAAAGGTGATGTCAATTATTAACCACAGATGGATATCAACCAAAGAATACAACACTATACAAAAAGATCCCAACAGCGTTCAATGTTTTTTAATCGCTCGTCGTATGTCGAACTCTAAGTGTAGTATAGTGACGTTTAGGTGTAGATGTCTATTTTGAGACATATGTTTAGCAACGGTCACCAGCCTATGAGATTTTAAACATGTTTTATTTTCAATGAAAAAAAATCTCAGCACCTATGAACTGTATTAAATCTTAACCTTTTTTTCATTTTTCCTAACTTTTTTTGCAGGTAGTGCCAATCAGGGTGATTTATCTGAAAATTTCACCACAGCGGACATATTTATATTATTGGTGGTTTCGTTATTTTGTGTGATAGCAGTCGTTTTTCTTCTTCTTACATGTGGCATTTGTGATATTTCAAATGGCGAAGTCAGTGGTGAACTTCCTGTGGCAAGTCAGCAAAAAACAAAAACTGCAAAATATTACAGTTCTCCATCTCACGACACACCGTGTGCTATGTCACCCAACATACCTCTGTCATACTCTTTAAATCCAAATATGTGCGACAATTTATCAAGCAGCCAAAGATCACAGGCTCAAGTTGCTGTTGACATCAATCATACGGACAACTCGAGCGATTTTGAAGGATTTAATTAAAATAATGTTTTAGTTCTAGAGATAATTACAAAAGGATATCAACAAAGTATTATCTTGCCATTTTCGGAAATATATGCAATAGAACTCTATAAATAGTATTTAAACGTTTGAATAAAAAGATTTCTTCTTTGAAATTATAAGATACGTCATTTCTCTTATAGTGAAGTATATAATAAAATAGAGAATGGAAATGAGGAATGTGTCAAAGAGACAACAACCCGACCAATGAGTAAAAAACAGCCGAAGGCCACCAATGGGTCTTCAACACAGCGAGAAAATCCCGCACCCGGAGCCGGACTTCAGCTGGCCCCTAAACAAAATTGTGTACTAGTTCAGTGAAAATGGACGTCATACTAAACTCTTAAACATATACACGAATTAAAATTAAAAAACATACAAGACTAACAAAGGCCAGAGGCTCCTGACTTGGGACAGGCGCAAAAATGCGGCGGGGTTAAACATGTTTAGTGAGATCTCAACCCTCCCGCTATACCTCTAGCCAATGTAGATTAAACAAACACACAGCAATACGCACAGTAAAACTCAGTTTAAAAGAAGTCAGAGTCCGATGTTTATATTTCAGGTGGCATTGTTGAACTATAAAAATTTGTTTAAGTTGTATGACGGGCAACTCTGTCTATTTATCAACCTCAGTAATATCTTTTGGAAAAAAATCTAGAAAAAAACGTATGCTTAAAAGTGCGTTTTTCCAATGACTTAATTTAATGTCATAAGGTCAAGCTGTACTTCAGATTTTAACTTTTTGTTTCATTTTGTAACTTTGTACATCAATCATAATGTCATAACTGGGAACTGAACGTAATTACTAAAAGTATATCCAAGTAAAATTCTTTCAATTTATCCATTCTTTAAGGCATTCAAACATTGAATGTGTATAAGCTGTTTCATGTCCAGAAATATATTCGTCGTATTCCGAATAAAAAGTCATTATATGATGCTTCAATTCCATCGCGATAGTCAATTCAAAGAAATAGAGTCATCGTTTGACAAATCTATCATCTGAGTATCAAATGTCTGAAATAAATCAATAATTCTAATAATGAAATTATCTTGTTTTCACTTGACTTATTCTTCTTTCGATATGCGGTTTTCTTTTCCATCCTGTAAAATGAAGATAACAAGATGGTGTAAAAAGAATAGAAAGGAAATGTCCAAAGTGCATAGTTCATTCATTCATTTTTTCGCTTAATACAAATATCACTAGTGATGAAAATTATAAGTATGGACTGGACAAAAGAAAAGAATGAAAAGAAAAGAAAAAAGCTCTTGTCCAGTATTTAAAGCCAAGGCAAAAATGCACAGATTACAGTTTTGGCTAGTTTTTTTTTTTGCTTAAAAATTAAGAAAATAGCATTATATTTAAATTCATAAAGGAAAAGAAACTGGGTGGTGTACTTTTTTCTCCTTACTTAAACAGTAGAGCTAAGTACTTAAATTTTAACAATTTTGTTGGAGGTCCCCGTGGAGCAGAGGTAATATGAATCTACTGACATCACAATTATTCTGTGTTCACGCCTCACGGCCGGAGATGTAAAAAGGATTAACTATATTATATGTAACTTAACTTTTATTTTAATTTCTAAAAGACAACCAAATTCACATTCTGTGTCTAACTGCATCCTCTGTTTTGTTACATTGCCATCAAACCCCCATATCTCTTTTTACTGTCAATCGTGTATAAATATGTCTTTTGGAATTTTTTTTATAGTGAAGTATATAACCATATTTATATTTTCAGGTGCCAATGTTGGACTGCAAAAAGTATGTGTCAAATATGTTTAAAGGGCAACTCACGGTCTATTTTAACTTTATTTTATTCTTCTGAGAAAAAAAATCTATAAAATCGTATGCCAAAAAGTGCGGCTTTTCAAATGACTTCAGTTGATGTCTTAGCAGTTCAGTATAAGTAAACAACCGCATAAATGTCAAAAGAGGGGCGAAAGATACCAGAGGGACATTCAAACTCATAAATCGAAAATAAACTGACAACACCATGGCTAAAAAAGAAAAAGACAAACAGACAAACAATAGTACACAAAGCACAACATAGAAAACTAAAGACTAAGTAACACGAACCCCACCAAAAACTGGGGGTGATCTTAGGTGCTCCGGAAGGGAAAGCAGATCCTGCTCCACATGTGGCACCCCCTCGTGTTGCTCATGTTAGTACAAACCCGGTAAATAGTCTAATTCGGTAGGTCAAATTCGTGAAAAGCGAACGGGATTGTAGTTACGACATTAGGAACATATCTGCTATAATATGTCAAGCTGTGCTTCAGATTTTTTATTTTTGTTTCATTTTGTAACTTTGTACTTCAAAGGTTTGTACGTAAGAATCATAATAAAATTGAGAATGGAAATGGGGAATGTGTCAAAGAGACAACAATCCGACCAAAGAGCAGAAAACAGCCCAAGGCCACCAATGGGTATTCAAGACAGCGAGAAAATCCCGCACCCGGAGGTGGGCTTCAGCTGGCCCCTAAACAAAAATGTGTACTAGTTCATTAAAATGGACGTCACACTAAACTCCGAAACATATAAATGAACTAACATTAAAAAACATACAAGACTAACAAAGGCCAGAGGCTCCTGACTTGGGACAGGCGTACAAATGCGGCGGGGTTAAACATGTTTTGTGAGATCTCAACCCCCCCCCCCCCCCCTTTATACATCTAGCCAATGTAGAATAAACAAACACACAGCAATACGCACAGTAAAACTCAGTTTAAAAGAAGTCCGAGTCCGATGTCAGAATAGGTAACAGAAGAAACTAAGCAAAATGACAATGATACATAAATTAACAAAGGACTACTAGCAGTTACTGACATGCCAGCTCCCGACCTCAATCAAACTGATTGAAAGATTATGTCTTCGTATGAAAATCCTGCAAAATCCCTTCCGTTAGGGGTTTAGTATCATCCCATCATAAAATATATGAGAAGAACATAACCCGTATCCTTCCAACAACAGGTTTTAAAATAAATGTGTTTATTTCCGATGCAAAAACCCTATAAGTGAATCAATATTAACTCCAAAATATGCCATCTTTAATGACCTGACAACAGTATCGTAAATATATCCCTTCTGAATAAGTCTGTTTAAAGGTTTGGTTAGCTTTTGAGGTGAATGACGAAATTTTTGTGCTTTGTATAGAATATTACCATAAAAGATTGGATGTGAAATAACTGTACGTACAAGATATCTGCATGTTGATTTATATTTACGAATGATGTCCTTGTACCGATGATAAAATTTAGTAAATGTTTTGACTAGTTTGTGATATCGAAAACCCTGGTGTAATAATTTTTCAGTAATACAGAGATTTCTTCACTTGGAACTCCAGAGCTGAATTCTGTTGACGTAAAGTTAGCGGGGGCGTTACTCTGTAGATGTTCGTAACATTTTTGCAAATTGCATCTCTAGACTCTATCAGGGAAGCAACATTCTTTTTCCAAAATAAACATGTTTACTTTAGTGACAGAAATGACTGTGCGATTAAAAGTCTCTGCGCTTCATACAAAATGTGCATCGGCAACGCTTTAACATACCTTTAAAAGTTACAAAGAGAAGCACTTAATTCTTGAAAATATTGTTCAATCCAACCGTTTCTAAAACGAGGGAAAAATAATAATTCTTTGGAAGAAAACTCTATCAGTTATCAAATAACATTTTATTACATCATTATTGACATGGATCCTGTTTGCTATTAAAATACGCGTATTTTAAATTACGCGGAGGATCTCAATCAAACACAGGATATACCATTTATGACGTACAGTTATAATATTTTATCCAAAACAAGTATTGTCTGACAAAAATTCAGGTGACTTATGTATTAAAAGATGAGAAAAACATAAGTTTTATCTCATTATGATGTAATGGAATAATTCTGTGATTAGAAAATATAGATTCTTTAGATAAACATGACTGATTCAATATGTTATATAAGAATAACGAATTATACTTACCAACATTGATGTTTTTGGATACATTAAATCATTACTTAAGGTGGATCATCGGTATATATTTCCTCAGATAGAATTTTTTTTATACTTGTATAATTTTTTTTGCAATAAGAGTTATCTCCCCTTAAATGGCCAGTTGAAAAATTGATTGTAAAAACATAAATATTTGGTTTTGTATACAAATTTTGAATAATGCAATGAATCACACATTTTTCTTTATACAAATAAGCAGTCTTACAGATAAATTGCAAATCTGTCTCAAAATTTGAAGATTTAGGCAAAGAACTATAGACCGATTGTGTACTGATATTGTACAATCCAAGATGGCGGTATACAGTGAATCTACCTTAATATGCATTATCATATCGTTTTGAACGCCTATTGGCTTACATCCCGTCAATACTTAGTACTTATATTTGTCATCGCAAAAGCACATGCTTCTCTCAGCCTGTTTAAGACTTCTTTTGTTTGCATGATGTGTATTGATTGATATTAAAGTCAAACTTGATTTATTTATTTTCTAGTTATAATGAGCCTGGAAATAGCTATCAGTAACTGCGATTACTTTGTGTTCTTTTGTCTTTGAATTTGTTTTAATGAACCTGCTTTCTGTCTATATATTTTTTTTTATCTCTCCCTGCGCCTAACCATAAATCTTGCAAGCGCAAATCTTCCAGTAAATCGTTTTTTTCTGAATTTTACGTGCTACATAGTAAGTACATGAAAGGATATTAGTCATGAAAAGAAAATTATTTCTCTGCTTAGTCATTTAATTACTTTTGATTAATGATATTTTCATCCTCTAACCAGAATGTTTGTCTGATATTTTCAATCAAAGCTGTGCTATGATACACTTAATTTCATTACACTTTTACACTTTGGACTTTATAACTGTTGAAAGAATTATCAAGTATCATAAGCTGACACCTTGTTTCGTGGTGAACATCATTATGGCGGAAGAAAATGCTCAACTATTTTGTCGTCGGTCGCCTTGTTTCAATCACACTATAGAAATATTTTTCCATCTACCTCTGGTCCTAGCATCTGATATATACCAAACTAGTGTCAGAGTTATTATGATAAACAACAAGAACGTAAGCGATCCAGTTATAATCCCTGTTAACTCACCTCCAAACCTGAAATGAGTACATGTATATAGATGGATTAAAGTTTAACTAGGTTTACACCCTCGTCCTTTGGTCTCTGGTGTATAGCTGTCTCATTGTAAATCATAACATCTCCTTATTTTTCATTATCGTTTGATGCGTTAATGATCTGCTTACCCTTCAGTAGCAACTGAGATAACACCCGAATTTTGGTGGGGTTCGTGTTGATCAATCTTTAGTTTTCTATGTTGTGTTTTGTAGAGGAAACGCGCGTCTAGCATACAAAATTTTACTCCTGGTATCTTTGATGATTTTATTAATGTTTGTCTTTTTGTCGTTTTTCGTTTTTTTTGCCATGGCATTGTTAGTTCGTTTTTGACTTATGAGTTTGACTATCATTTTGGTATCTTGTTTTTTTTTTTTAATTGCTTTATAAAAACAAGACCAACACCGTCTCTGAAACTGCGGTGCATGTTGTTGTCTTGCAGGACAGTCTGGCTCATTAGTCTTCAATGTAGAGAAATAGATTGGAACATTTATAAGGTGCTATCCTTTCGGCTATTGTCAAAAGCGCAAGCAGTGAAATGGATGAGTATTGTGGTTACCATGGATGTTAAGAAAATTCTCATAGTAAAGAATGGCACATATATTTATAGAACTGAAAAAACTCATCAAAGATAACAGGTTGATAATTTGTGACGCCAGAGGAGCGTTTCGTTTTCATAAGACTCACCAGTGACGCTCGAATCGAAGTTGGAAGGTCAAAATCAAACACGAAGTTGAAGGTCATTTCAAGCCACAAATTCCAAAATAATGTGCGAAATACGACTAAGGCCACCTATGCCTGCGGGCAGAAAAACCTTAGCGTTTCGTTTAATTCAAGCCAAAATGTTATAAATAGAAAGTTTTTGGGAAAAAATATTGCCATATCAATGATAACTTATGGTGTTGACTACTGGTCTGGTGATACCTTGAAGCCAGGATTAAAGCAGGATTTGTATGTTGTGTTGGGTTTGTCTCTTTGTTTTGTCTTTTTTGTAAGTATTGGAATAAAGATATGATTGGGATATGGTATTCAGAGCCTCAATGGAGGCTTGAATAATGTATTCTCAAACTAAAAACTTGTTTCTCTTCTAAAGCACTAAAGCCTGATACAACTTATCATAACACTAGAAGTATGTTGTGGAGGCTTCGTCTTTCATTGTTATCTGAATAAAATTATAATTGGGATATTAGGGCCTGAAGTACCTAGTAGGGAAACTGTTTGAGTTATAGATTATACACAAATTTCTAAAGCATTGAATGACAAAAATGACTAACTTGGATACATTGTAAACATTAAAATAACTCAAAGTTGTTTAAAATATGAGATGCACATTTGTAATCTGTGTGAAATTAGTGTGAAAGTTTGAATAATTCTATAACACATTTCTATAACACACTCTTTGATTTACGAATGACACAAACTAGGTATTGTACGTGATTCGGATGGACGGCGTGGTGCTTCTACTAATATACGATCATATACCTGCCACCGCATCTTGTGAAGCAGATTAAAAAAAAAAGATACATATGTAAAAATTATTATCGGTTTAAAGCATGAAGAAACCAACTAAATTTTTTCTCTTCTCCAGTCTTTTATTCTTTATTCTACTTACAATTCGTCTTCAGGGCAACAACTGTTTCCACAGCAACCAACTGGACAAGATTGTACAAATGTATACCTATCAAGGGAGCATGAAATCATTGGAGGAAGTTCTGTAAGTAAACGCAGCTCTATCAGAGAAGAGGTACTACAATGAAGCACGGAATTGAATTGAAAACATAGATAACTAACCATCTATTATAATACATTGCTTTAATATGTTTTAAGAAAAAAGTCCAATCCTGTGAAATTTTCTTAACATACTTCTTGTGCATTACGGCCATAATATTTATTTAAGCATTTTGTCTCTTAACGTTATCAGAGAGGAATCTATTTGTAGAAAAATGTTAAACTTGTGCCTTGAACCCACCTTTTTTTCTTAAAATGTCCTGTACCAAGTCATGCAGGAATATGGCAGTTGTTATCAACTTGTCAGGCTGTTTCTATGTATGTTGGCGTTTGTTTTTGTAGCAGTTCAGTGTTTCTGTAAGCTGGTTCTCGGCTGACTACTACTCTTTGGTATTTTTATTGTCCTCTAAATTACACTTTTGTAAATTCACTGATTTTGATGTAGTAAAAAGTGTTATGTACTATCCAAAACACTAGACCCCTCCCCCAGAGTTACCTACTCTGTGATAGGACATCCTGGTACAAAGTCAAGTTGAAGAGCAACGTAAAGAAGAAGAAAATCCAGCTTTCAATCTGTAAAATTTTTGGGGAAAAATAACTGCTTCATATTTTCTTTACACGACAAAATCATCGGAAAACAGTAAACTTTCCCCTTAAATTACACCGATTATATGCTTGATTTTACTTATTTTGGTTGCTCTTACTTGACCGAGTACCAGGATGTCTTACCACAGAAAAGTAACCTGTCGAAAAATTATATAATCCGGAGTCAAAAGTCAGTAATATGAAAATAGTCTATTGAGTCGAGGGCAATTGAAATGTAACTCTTCCTATGATTCAAATTTAAAACTGTTACCATCATAGTTAACGGTTGCCATAAAACCAAAATTAAACAACTTTGTAAAATTGCCTGTTTAAACCATTAAAAACATAGTGTGCAAGTAATGTCACGATGTCTTACATTAGTTATTCATCTATGAAAGAGACAACATATACCAAAGGAACATTCAAACTCATAAGTAGAAAATAAAATGAAAACGTCATGCCAAAAAAAAAAACAAAAAACAAAACGACAAACATCAGTATACAAAACACAACATAAAAAACTAAAATCTGAGCAACACCAACCCCGAAAAAAATTGTGGGTGCTCTTGAATGGTAAGCAAATCCTGCTCCATATGTGGTATTTTTCGTGTTGTTCATGTAAGTACAAACTCGGTGATACGTCTAATTCGGTAGGTCACATTTGAGGAAAAGAGGACGGGATTGTGGTTACCTACGGTCACTCAACCCTTGTAGCAGCAACTTTCTATGAAGGAAATCATGATAAAAATTCAAGGTCTGGCATATATGATCAACTAGAAGATATGTACTCGATATGCAGGAGCTGCTGGAATGTTGCTACATAGAAATGGTAAGTTCACAATTGGGAAACTGAAATCGTCTTTTATCGTAAAGTTTTGTTCTTAACCGACCCTTGTTGTCAATTTCTAGACGTAAGTCAAGATAAAAGGCAGACTTGTTCAACATAGTCACCACAATTTGAATTATTTAGTGTTTAGTGATGTAAAGTGTTTGTATTGGTTTAAATGTGGGTTTGTTACAGTAGCTTCCAAACATAAGCTGTACAGAGAATGAAGCTTTGGAGTTTTGAATGGGGTAGTGAATAAAGCTTCGTGCGAAGGTGATGAATACCAAACGGCAGAAGGTCATTAATAGACATTTTTAAAAACTATTCGATACCGACGCTACACCTATGCCTATGCCTACAGGTAACTTTTTTGAGAAATGGTCATCTCAATGTGTACAACGACCACAGGCATTTATATTATGTTTTTTTTTCGAATTTACATTTCAAATACTGTATAAAACATATACTTTGAATGATTTGCTTCTTTATTGACTCTGTTTAGTAGCTGATAATTGAACGATCTTAATATTGTACTTTATAAAAAGGGAGGGTGTGTGTTAATTAGTAAAACTTTAATTAGAAACAGGAACGTGTAAAGAATTTTATAGCGTGAAACATAACGTATAAATATATAGATGCTATTATTAGTTATCTTGTTGTAATCAGGGGTTACAGAATTTTACATTGGTGTTAAAATGCATTGTAAAAATCCGTACACCCCTGAGTACAGCAATAAAACGAATGTATTTCTTATGAAACGTTCTTTCACTAATTTTTATATCTGAGTGTAAAGTTGAAAAATTCTAATGAAGAACTTCCACTTCACATTTCAACACCGTTGTTGATGCGTTGTCAAATATAACCTTATATGTATATATATATATTTTTTTTAAATTTTGTCAAAACCTTATTTTTGTCTTAAGTTTTGGCAAATTTTATTTTTTGTAATTTTGGCATTTCTTTTTTACTTTTAGCATTTTTTTTTCCGTTTCTGAATAAAAAAATTATATAAGAAAAATTACAGAATATACTTTATTTTATCTCTGCAGCCAAGTTTTACGAGATCATTCATTCAGTATGTATCAACATTTTGATACGATCCCATTATTTTTGTAGTCAGTGTAGGTATCGATGTCGGTGTAAGTGTCTGTGTAGGCGACTTTTCGAAATGTGTAGTAGAGATATGACTGAGAGTAGGTGATGTAAAATGACGATGACAAAATGCATTACAAGCATATCAAATTTATGTAAACAATTAAAGCTGTTAATCGTTGATTCGTGTTGATGAGAAAAATGAAAACATATACATATAAATACAGTTCTTACCATACAACCAGTTTCAAGGTGCGTTTAATTGTACATTTGAAGCATTATTAATTTTCCCTAGATGTTAAACACCTAAGTTTCCGGGCACGCCAGTCCTCTCATGGTCACGGAAAACTGTACATGTAAAATAATATGTCTATGTGCATATATCGACTAAATTAAGTTTCTTTCCTCAGTTGAATCGAAAATCAGAATATATTTACAAAATGAATATCTGTTCAAACATTACGTAACATTAATGGTGCTAAGACTTGAATGAGGTAGTGAATAAAGCTTCCTGTGAATGTAATGAATACCTCACGGCTTTTGTATTAATGACAGAAGTTCATTAATAGAGACATCACGAGAGTAACTGGTGTATAATGTCGATGACAAAATGCATTATAGAAGCATGTCACATGTAAATTTATATAAATAAACTCATTATAGATACCAGGCTTAAAAATTTTTACGCCAGACGCACGTTTAGTCTACAAAAGACTCATCAGTGACGCTCGAATCAAAAAAGTTAAAAAGGCAAAATAAAGTACAATATTGAAGAGCATTGAGGACCCAAAATTCAGAAAGCTTTTGACAAATACAGAGAAGTTAATCTACTTCTACGGTAGAAAATCCTTAGTATTTCGAAAAAAAAACAAAGTTTTGTAAGCGGTTAATTTATAATTATGAACATATCAATGATCATTAATTCATGTCCAAACAGAAGTGCTGAATAGTTAATGCTGGTAATCGTTGATACATGTTTAGAAGCATTAATAATTTCCCTAGATGTTTAACATCTAAGTTTCCCGGCACGCTAGTCCGCTCATGCTCACAACAACTGCATGAACTGTATAATTGAAATTATGTGTCTATGTGCATATATATCGATTAAAAATTTATTTTTTTTTTTTGGTTGAAACGGTAACCAAAATATATTTACAATCATGAATATCCGTTAAAAAATAACATACCATTAACGATGTCAACTTCACTGCACCGGGTACGCATTTCGACGATTAATGTATTTCCCCCCATATTTATGAAAAACTCAAAACCTAATACAAACGATGCAGAGCCAATAAAACAAAAAAAAAGATTCAAAAGTAGAGCTAAACCCGGGCTAAGAATCAGAGCTATGCACACGGGATATACATTATATGCAACACATTTCAATAAAACATATATATCCGTAAGTTCACTATTATACTGGTTACTGGGATTGGCGTGACCCTTAGACACTTACAGTCCAGTGGTAATAATTACATAAACGGCACCAATTGTATTGCACCAGAACTGCATTATGACCTACATCTTGAACATTATAAGTTAAGGTATCGTTTGATCTAACCCTTTCACCCCACTAATTATTTTCTTTCAAAGAATATTTTCAATATCGGCTTAAGCTGTAATAATCACAAATATATTATAAAAAAATTGTAAACTTACACCTCTCTTTTTTTCAAATGAATTCTTCATAAAACGTGTTACTGCTAGCTTTAGTTTTGTTAAATGTCAGATTACGTAATTCAACAAGTAGAAAATTGTTATCATAAGTCGTAAATTTGTATTTTATAGTGCAGTACTGGTTAATTGCTTTACAGTACATTTTGAACAATTTAAACACATTAGAAGTAAAATGGAGGCATCTGTCATGATATTTGCGGTACACATTCCGCTCGAATAACGATTACGAGAAACTTTTCTCCATTTGACGTGCACCATAATAAAATAACAGTAGAGGAATTGTCGGGAAATATAATATTTATAGTTGCTTCTGCGCATTTGTATTTAAGTATGTTCATTGATGGTCTATGGTTATATTTTGTATAAATATGAATTCTTCTTTAAATTTTCGAAACCTTTTAAAAAAAAAACACAATAACTCCCTACTGTACTATCGATAGACACACACAAACACACGATTTCAATGTAGCATGATAAAATATATAGACTTCATTGGTTGAAAACTGGTGAAATGATATATAAATTCAAATTCATATCAAACTTACTAATCTATAAATGTTTTTTCCAATAGTCATTTCATCTAGAATTAAGAGACAAGAGGAAGATTTCTTCAGTTTAAAAAAAAATGGTTTTGTCATCGGTTCCCGGTTGTTTTGTTTCCAGTTACACCATTGATATCTACCGCTCTTTCTTACATCTAATAAAAAGTGTCAGAATTACTATGACAAACAACAAGATTGTAAGCGATCCAGTAAGGGTTCCTTTTATCTCACCGCGAAACCTTAAATGAGTGATGATAGATTAACCTTAGGTTCTTTCTTGTTCAATTTGAATGACATTTTTACTATGAGATACAGAAACATCTGCGGTTTCTTGCAATAATTTGCGAAATATTTATTTGAATTACACTCTTGAAGAAATATTTATTCTAAGACAAATCTGACTTTCTACTAGAAAGTGATATATGGGTATATAGCATATGTAGGGAACGTATTCAAATGTGTATTAAGATAATGATTTCTAAGTTCTGACATAATATACAAAATATTTTATATTTACCACAAAAAAATGTACACATAATATTTATTAAATCAACAGTAACAATTTCATAAATATCGAACCCGAAATGTTTTTGGCAATTATCTAAAAAAAAAATGTGTTTGTATGCGAAATTTACAGGATAATTTTTTGAGAATAAAACACTTTTGGCCTCTTCCTATACTAGGCCTATTCTAACCTATTGTGAAGCTGATAAATGAAGACGATTTGTTATTGGTTTAAAACATGAAGAAACCGACTTAACATTATCTCTTCTCCCACCAATTATTCTATATCCTACGCATCATTCGTCTTCAGGACAACAACTGTTTCCACAGCAACCAACTGGACAAGGTTGTACAATTATATAGTTTTCGAGATAGCATCTAATCATTAGATAATGTACAGCAATGGATCATGGAATTATTATGGAAGGACAAATTAACTACGTTATCCTTGTTTTCAGTATTTGCGAACATTCAGTGATACAAAATTAAATACAGTATACAGTTTACATTGCTGAGTTTATTTTCAATAGTATCGATATTATTTAGATTACCCAACTTTGGTTTGGTTTGTTTTTAGTTTTACGTTTGTATTGTTTTTTTACTCCTGAGATGGAGGGGAGAAAATTGAGTCCTCACAAAACTAGTATACCTGATGAGGTATATCCGTTTAAATCAGATCTGGATTCTAGAAAATTCAAAATGTCTTCTTTGAAATATTCATTCACATTCTTCGTAATTTGGCAGTTACATCAAACTTTTTATTTTTCTACAAAATCGGAAGTATGTATACAAATTCTTTGTTTTAGATCTGTAAATTTACCAATTGTGTCTTCTTGCCGATTGTGTCATTTTGATTAAGTGTGTATTCGGACACCAATATTTTTATAGTGTTGTTTCTATTTTATCGATTTTTACTTTATCGAGAAAGTGTATACTATACGGTATATGTACTGTCAACGACAACAATTTCTTTTTGCGTACGTCATTTTCAAATGTGCACCTTTTTTGTTGGAGTCTTTGTTAGATTGATTTGAATGTTTGTTTGAATTTTTCAGTCAGTTAGGTTTTATGTATGTGATGTATGTTTACACAGTTTTTGCTGCTGGATCCCAATTATTGTCACTTTAACATATTATGCCTGTTTGGGTTGCTCGGCCAGTTTTGTCAATATAACAGACCTATAAACAACTGGCATACGCGTGGAGGGTTTAGCTAGCTACTACTCGTTGGATCCGTCTTGCTTCTTCTCAGTTGGCAAGGGCCTTGGTAATTGGGGGTAACGTAACACTTCTTGTGATTGAATATAAAAGAGTAAATTATTTGTATACTTCTGTAAACGGACAATTTTTTTAATTATTTTGAATCATTAGAAGTATAATATGCAAATACTGTTATGTTGTCTTAGGGACCGTTCAATATTTACCAAATGGATGGGCCGGTGCATTCTTAATATTATTATATTAAAAAAATTAATGCCCATCCTTTTAAATTCTGCAAAAAAGTCCTTGCCCATCTAAAATTTTTCTATTTTAATATTTGCATGTTTATGTCTGGAAATCAAAGAATAGACTTTGGTGTATAAATACAAAATTCAAAATGTGCTAGTTTATTCCACATATATATATATTTATGTGTGTATCAGAAATATACATTTTATTAATTTTAAAACCAGTTTGAATATACATGTATAGATTTGATTTTATATGTGCAGCCTCAGATACAATATCACAATTAAATTTCAAGACATAAGTAATAGCATACTATATCAGCCAGCCTTTCATAGAGGCTTAAGAAGTGCTAACAATATTCATGCAAGTCATAAAACATATGAAGAAATATTAACCATACTTATTATTATTATTAAATGAACTTAGTTTATATTTTTCTGAAATCTGAGGTCATCTTAAATTTGAAACAGTTTAATGTATCTCTTTTTACGTCTTTGTTCTATTAAATAATTGAGGGTGACCACTTTTTTTCTCTTTTGTGACCATATGCATAACTATTTATTCAAACTATTGTTAACAATCAAAAAAATATTAACTAACTCTCCAATTTGTATACAATTTTCAAAATACCATATTAATTTAAAATAAAGGAATAATTCAAATTAAGGGACAATAACTCTTAGACTAGTAAACATTTTACCATATGCTGAATTAACAATTATTGTCTTAATAATAGAGCATGCTTATATTTCAAATATACAATGTCCTTTTATCTTTTCTACTTTTCAAGAAAGAAATTATGGTCTTTTTAAAGCAATTTAGGCAGACATGTTTTTGACTTTGATGCAGCTTTTTTTTACCTATTAATTAAATCCCAAAGGCAAATTTAGGGGGGTGCAGGGGGCCCGGGCCCCACTTTTTGTGGGAAAAATTTAGTTGCTTATATAGGAAATCACGACTGGAGCGGGCCCCCTCTTAGGCAGTCAATGGGCCCCCCTCTTATGAAAATTTCTGGATCCGCCACTGAATCCCTAAATTTGTCAGCAATACATGTACACCGAACTACCAAACAACCTGGCATTCTGTAAGATCAAAATATAAATGAGATGGCTGTAGAGTTTTACGAAAATCAAGTTGATTTGGAAACGTTACACCAATTTTGAAAGATGACTATCTGAATTTAGCCTAAACTGAAAATTGTAGCTTTTTTAACCTATTAACTAAATCCATAAAAATGACAGCAATACACCAAAGTACCAAACAACCTGGCATTCTGTAAGATCAATATGTTAATGAGATAGTTGTAGAGTAATATAAAAATCCAAGTTGATTTGAAAATGTTATAAATTTTTTTAAAGCTGACTATCTGGAATTAACCTAAACTGAAAATTTAAGCTTTTTTTTAACCTATTTATTAAATCTATAAAAATGACAGCAATACACTAAACTCCCAAACAACCTGGCATTCTGTAAGATCAATATATGAATGAGATAGGTTTAGAGTTTTATGAAAATCCAAGTTGAATTGAAAAAGTTATAAAAAAGTTTAAAGGTGACTATCTGAATTTTGCCTAAACTGAAAAATTTAGCTTTTTTTTCTTACTTATTAATAAAATCCATAAATTTGACAGCAATACACCAAACTATCAATCAACCTGGTATTCTTTAAGGTCAAAATACAATTGATATGAAAATCCAAGTGGTTTTGAAAATTTATATAAACTTTTAAAAGTGACTATCTGAAATTAGTCCGAATAAAAAATTCTAGCTTTTGTATTCTTTAATTAAATCCTTAAAATTGACAGAAATGAACCAAGCTACCAGTTTGTTGAGACCATGTCTTTTATATTTATATCTGCAAAAGAAATGTCCTACACACTGATAAAATTGATAGCAAAATTTTCCCTGTAAAATAAGTTCTGGCCCATCCACCATACATGTAAAAAAAAGTTCTCGCCCATCCAAATATTTCCACAAAAAAGTGCTTGCCTCGCCCCATTTTGCACCGGACCATTCATCTGATAAATATTGAACGCTCCCTTACTCTCAATATTCTTCTAGAAAAATCATTTGAAGGATGTCACAGTTGAATCGATATCAATAATAAAGATGTTATCATTGCTGCATACCGATGAAAAATTGAAAAACAAAATATGTACAGATCTTAAAGTTCTTACCATTCAACATTTTTTACAGTGTAACTGAAGGTCCTTTAGAAGCATTATTCATTTCCCCTATATTTCCATTGTCGTTTATGTATTTCAAGTCTTCTAGCAAGTTAGTCTACTCACAGTTACGGAAACTTCAAATGTAAAATACAGTGCATTTGTGCATACACAGTTTCGGTCGACTTACTTATTACTTCTCTTATACATCATATTTATAATTGTTTATACACCATATTTATAATTGTTGAATATTATGGTGTTGAGTGAATACCAGGAAATAATTGTCGATTATAATAACACTTTTCCTTTTTTCACGGAAGAATAATATACTTACAAAAAAAGGATATCTGTTGAAAGTTTTAACATTATTATTTTAGGTCGCAATATCGTTGAATCAATCGTTCCAAACCCTGTCACCTCATTCAGGATTTTTCTTCTAAAAGATTAATTTCAATCTCTATTTTAGCTTGAATATTTTTAAATAAAATATATATAGGAAGATGTGGTATGAGTGCCAATGAGACAACTCTCCATCCAAGTAACAATTTATGAAAGTAAACCATTATAGGTCAAGGTACGGCCTTCAACACGGAGCATTGGCTCACACCGAACAGCAAGCTATAAAGGGCCCCCAAAAATTACTAGTGTGAAACCATTCAAACGGGAAAACCAATGTACATAAATGTAAACTTACATATCTCCACTTTCTAAAATAATCTACTTACAGTTAACTTTTATTTTGTTAAAATGTCACGTAACGTACACGTAGACGAAACAAATTGTTATAATTAGTTAAAATCACACATTTAGCATTCCTACTTAATGATTGTAATGTTTAAAAACTAAAACAAATTAAAGAGTAGTTAATGGGGTTTTTTTTTGTTAAACTTCTGGCGGTAAATATTTTACTCGAGTAACGGTATTGTTTCTCCATTTAACATGCCATATAACAAAAATTACAGTTGATAATTTTAAGGACAATGACCGATTTATATCGGCTCCTTTGTATTATTATTTCACTTATAGTTCATATAGTACCTATGATGAGATTTTGTACAAATATAAATTTCAATTTGGGAAATTACGAAAATTCAGTTTTCCTACCATGTTGGAAAATTTAGTTTTCTAATTGTTGCAAAGGTATAATCTTTCGAAAAAATTAAAGCACGACTTGGAATCTCCTTAATTTCTATTAAATGCTGAGTTTACGAAAATCCTGAGGTAGGATCAAGGTAGGGTTTTTAACCCTTTATTTCAAATCAAAAAGTGAAAAATCTGAGAATAACACGCTATGCTAATTTGACTAAACGCGATTTGAAAACGCTTGTAATGCAATCTGTCACTTTTACGGTGAGAATGAGTTTTTTCCAAAACAAAACAAAAAAAAAAGATATATTTTCTGTTATTGATGACCTAATTAATTATGAAATCCACTGATGTCGTTATTTGCTGTCAGAAATTAACTTAAACACAGCTTTTGTGAAGAATGTAACAATAACATAAAAATATACATACTATCGAGAGAATGTTGCGATAATCATGCGCATTTTGCGACTATCAGATGTCGTTAAGAGTTCAGTGTTCTTTTAATCAAACACTAGTTTGAACATAAATCGAATGACGTGGATAATATCATTGATATGGTCATAATTAGAAATTAACTGATTATAAAACTTTAGTTTTTCGAATTACTAAGGATAATCTACCCCAGGAATAGACTACCTTAGCTGTATTTGGCAAAACCTTTCGGAATATAACTTTAATTCGAGCTTCACTGACTGATGAGACTATACGCGCGTATGGCGTACAAAATTTAAATCATGGCATCTATGATGAGTTTATTCCCCAAATGATAAAAATATTAGGATGTAATAAAAAGACAACAATTGTCTGAGGTTTCGGACTTGGAACAGGACATGCTAAAGTGGTGGAGCTAACCTTGTTTTTAGTTGTAAAGTTCATATTTTAATTCCGATCAATTGAAAAACAAAAGGAATATCAAAGCACATACAATAAAGCTCTAAACTCTCAAATAAAAGTATAACAGATCACCAAAAAAAAAACCACAAGTATAACCGTAACTTATAATCTATACTTATTTCCAAACTAGTGAGAATTTTATTATATAAAACCGTTCACCAAATGATAAGTGGTATTCTAAAATTTTGGCAAAGCATTAAACTGACAACAATGTGCATAACCGCATAGTGAGCTATATAAAAATAAGATGTGGTATGATTGCCAATGAGACAAATATCAACAAGAGACCAAATCAGATAGAAGAACAACATTTATTTCTTCGATTTTGTTTAATTCTGCATAAAAGCTGTGTAAAAGATATCATATGTCTTGTCACTGGAACATACAGGTCGTTTTCAACAGAAAATATAGAACTTAACGTATTGAAATCAGTATAATAAGGTCGTCGAGGACAGAAAATATATCTGCTTTTGTAGGGAAAAAAGAATTCTGACCGTAAAATTGAAAGATTGACAATCGCTTTACAATTTTTTCTGAAGCCTACTAAGCATGTGCGTTGAGGAGTAGTTTTCAAACAGTAAAGTTCAGCAACGAAATTTGTTCTTCGCTCTTCTTTTCAGATTGAGGTTCTTAGTCTTCCTGAATATTATTGAAACATAACCATCAACACAGCTATGATACTGAAGAAGTACGGAAGGAGGATGTATGATAAGATCCTTACATTTTATTTGGCAATGAAGCTACTTAAAAGTAAAAAAAGGTCTTCAACCCTTCCAAAAGTATCCATGTACTTAGGACTCTGTTAGATAATTGTCTTATTGACAATCATACCACATCTTTTTATTTTTATATAGTTCTACTGACAAAAGACGATATAGCCATGACATTAAAAAACAGAAATGTCAGTTGAGATGTTACAAATGACCTCAAAAATGATTCAATTGACCTTAAATGGCCGTTTTGCACAATAATTTAGCAAACTTTAGTACTGACACCACCACTATTGTACAGTTTTATTTCATTACTGCATCATTAAAATTTGTATGAATAAAATTGAGTTTACTCCCTGGAAGCAGGTGCGTTAAGGTTGGTGTTAATAATAGACACAAGACATGCATAGGTTGACACCAGTGTTAATGTTATTGCTATTGTTGATGGGCACTGATTTTTGAACTTGTCAGACATTTCTGTTATAACCCTTCGATGTAAATTTAATATATATCTGGCAAGAATTGTACACATGAGAGCACTTAAAATGAAATTCTCCATATAATTAATATTTCCAAGGTGTGTAACTCTCTAAGAAAAATGATCGGAACTGATTTTAGAAAAGGTCTGAGACATTGCTGATTTAAACTTCTGATATAAATTTCATAATAATCTGGCAAGAACTGTACACATGAGAGCACTTACAATGGAATTTTCAGTATTATTAATATTTCCAAGGGGCGTAACTCTTTTAAAATCAAAGCATCGTCTCTGCTGTGATCCAGCCATTTTTTCTGATCTCATTTTCAATATAAAAATATTTATACATGCTCCTGTAAGACATCTAGAGACAACCATCACAACTTTGGATAAGTGATTTTGGCCCTAATTGTTAATTTGTGTTCAATAGAAAAAAAACCAAGGAACAATCTAATATGATGTTTAAAAAAAAAGACAACACAAGGATTGAATGTAGCACTTCATCATTTTCATCATTATTTTTATTTTTTTAAACAGAGGTATGCATTTTTCTACCTGATCTTATGATCATTTATTGATTTTTTATAACAATTATGACACTGAAGATGAATGGTTTTATTTCATTTCCATAATCTTACTCAAAAAATTGTGTTCAATTGCCCAAAGGTGGAGAACGTCTCAATTGTCATACAAATTCTTTTGCTATTTCAATTTTTAGAAGGTGTACTGATTTCTAATATTTTCTTTTTATTCAATTGATTTTTTTTTGCATGATTGGAAATAGAAATCTTCAAAGGAAGGTGTAGTATATTTGTTATTGAAGTTTAACTTAATAATTTCAGAAAAGAGGCATTGGGAATTTATTTAAATTGGTTTTCATTCTTCTTTGAGAAAAAATATTTCCTGTATTCAAATATACATATACAAATACCTTACACTGTTAAACAGCAATATAATGCATGAGGAATAAACAAATAAATTTTATTGCAGAAAATCTCCGGGTTAGAGTTAAGCAATTTTGTTTATTGTTTCTAGCTCAGTAGTAATAATTGTAACGTAAAATTACTAAAATTATTGACTAATATCAGATGATAATAACACTGATTTTACAAGTAAGATAGACCCTGCTTTCATTTTTTTCATACATATTTTGTTTTTTGTCTTTTCTTTGCAAAAAAATGCATCTTTTTTATCCTTAATTATTCTCTCTGAGAGATAATTTGCTAAATAACTTTATGTAGTGTAGAACAAAAGTGATTATAGGTATACTATTGAGGTCAATATTATTGTGTATTCAATTATGTAATACAAGATATATCAACTGTGATGTCAATTTAGATTGGCATTAAAGTGGAGGGGATTCCAATTAATACTCCACCTTTTTTGGTGAAATTATTTGTTAACAATGACAGTTGTCAATCAGTTCTCTTGTTTGCCTAAGAAAAGAATTGGAATAATAGCATTTCAAAAAAGTGTGGGAATCAACTTTGATATCAGTACACATCTTGTACTCACATACTTACTTACTGTCCTTGTACGCCATTGGCGTGTAGGGCAGTAACGAAGATTTTCCACTTTTGTCGGTCGTTGGCAGTTTTCTGTAGTTTGCCCCATGTCTGTTGATTTTTACTAGCCTCTGCCTCTACAGTTTTCCTCCAAGTCATTTTGGGTCTTCCTCTCTTTCTTTTACCTTCTGGGGTCCAGTGGAGTGCTGTCTTTGTGATATCCTCCTGGTCTTTCCGTAGGACATGTCCAATCCACCTCCAGCGTCTTCTCATTATAGTTGTGGCTATATCTTGTTGTTGGCATCTGATAAGAAGGTTCTCGTTTGAATTTGTTTGTGGCCAAAAGATTCGCAGAATCCTTCTGAGACTTTTGGTATGGAATACAGACAGCTTGTTTTGGTCGTGCTCTGTCATCCTCCAACATTCTGAACCATACAAAAGTACAGGCAAGACACAGCTGCTGTAAAGTTTGAGTTTGGTCAGGATGGTATATTGACCAGATCTCCATACAGCCTGCAGGATGTTAAGAGCTGACCTTGTCTTTGATAGTCGTCTTTTGATGTCATATTCTGCTCCGCCATTGAAAGTAACAGTGCTGCCAAGGTATGTAAAGGTATCAACATGTGGTAATGTTTTTCCATCCAGTAAAACTGACCCTTGCTTGTTTACGTTTAGCGTCATGATTTCAGTTTTCTTAATGTTGATTTTCAGCCCCATCTGTCCTGAATATTTTTGTATATCTAAGGTCTTATCTTTGATATGTTGGTGTGTGTGAGACATTAATGCTAGGTCGTCAGCAAAATCTAGGTCTTCCAAAGTGGTGAAGGTGCCCCATCTAATGCCTCTTGGTGTATCAGCAGTTGTTTGTCTCATTATCCAGTCTATGACTATGATGAAGAGTGTGGATGACATGACAAACCCTTGTCTTACTCCTATTTTTACTTGGAAGTATATATCACTGTATCCAACCTTGCACCGGAATCTGTTGTAGAATGCTTTTATGAGGTTTATAAGATGTTGTGGAATGCCATATGATCGCAATATTTTCCAAAGACTATCCCTGTGGATGCTGTCAAACGCTTTCTCAA